CCTTCGGCTCGGCAAGGGCTCAGGAGCTGGCCCGCAAGAGAGGGACGCCTCCGCAGTAAGGGGGACATCACTGGTATTTCTATCCAGAACACACTTCTGTCCTCACGTATCACATGTAATGCTGAATGTGCATCGGCTGATGCTCATGAAAGCGTTTCATATTCTTCACAAATAATCCTCAAAATTAATTTTAGGAATTTATTTTAAATGAGACTGGCCATACCGGGTCAGGCAAAATGCCCCCACAGGTCCATAACCCTGCACTACTTCCGTCCAAAGGAGATGCCTACGGAGCCTCAAACAGCGTGGACCGACGGCTCCCCTGCATCCTCGCAGCCTCCATGGACTAAAGCTCTTGGAGCACTGACTTCCAGATCCATACCACAACGATACGTTGTGCAGCATGAGAAATGCAATCATAAAGTACAAGCCCATATTCTCTCTCATGCAAATGATCCGCTTAGGAGCTGCTCAAGAATTTAGCATTTGCCCTAGCAGCTCAATCAGACAGATCCCATTGCACCATCGTGTTTTCATCCTCGTTAGGAGGATTGCCAGGGTAGGACATATGGCACCTTGAGTATATTACACATGACACAAATGATTTAAGAACTCCAAATCAGCACAGTCTTCCCATCTTGCAAAGTTAAGGTGCCTCCATATTTCAAAAAGACAAATTCTTACAAGAACAGACACGGGGGGCGCACCAAAAAGGTCTGCCTACGTGTAGCGTTGACCTTCAGTGATGAGCAGTGGTGGGCACTCAGTGAAAATCAAGCCTGCAGGGCATGGATAAAGCGGTGCTTCCCCTGATCCACACCTTTCACCCAGGCTGCACTCCCCCTGAGGATCACTCGGACTGTTCAGCTAATGGCACATTCTGCTCAGGGCCACGTAACCGGTATTAATGCAAAACTGAATTGAAGGGGAAGGAGAAAGGAGGGACAGAGAGAGAGGACAGGACAGTTTCAGTGTCTCAATTTTCACTATACAGGGACACAAGAGAATTTTAAACAAACTTACTGCTGTGCAAATCAATATATTAAGATGCAAACTGCTTAGAAACATGGGAATAAAACATGAGCATTTGCCACGATACACAGGCAGGTTTGGAGCGCCTTTGTTTTGCAGCACTCGTTCCTGCAATGCTGTTTACAAGAGACACTCCACACCCAGCTTACCACAGCCCATCTGAAATTTGAGCAGCCTTCAAATGGACAAGGAACGGGAATAGGAGAATGAGAGAAAACAAATCAAAGGCTACCAATTAATTTTCACCTCTTACACTGTTCTTGTTCAGCTGGGGAAAGGCAACCCTTCCAAGAGAGTTCAGAAATGCTGCGGGCCCCTTCATCCATTCCTGTCAAGTCCTCAGAAAAGAAGGTTGGAAAATGCTAACTACAGGTAATAAAACAGAACCACTGGAAATTCAGGGGAAAAAAATCTGTACAAAAGAATAAAGAAAAAATATATTTAGCAACATGTGAGTGAGCAGAGAGTTCCAGATCGGAGGCCTGTTTTGCTAGTGCACAATTGTAGTGAAACCTTTACACAGACACAACAGAACAGTCGGTGGGAGATGCGAAGGATAAAGCCAGCATCCTTACTCGGCTTTTTCACTGTGGAAAACACTCATACTTTTTTCTACATTTGGAAATAGAAGTTCTTGCTCTTTCTGCCCCTCTCCCTCACTCCATATTTTAAGTTATGTATCACAGAAACTTAAAAGTAGCAGTATTTCTAACTCTTTTTCAGATGAAAGATAACACACATTCTGTAACGCCCTGTGCTGCTATCCCTTCTGCACCGCAGCCAAAATGTAGTAACAGGTCTCCAGCAGAGGCGTGAATTGCCTCCATTCATCCTCACCGAGTATGAACTTCGTACACTGGTATTCATCATTCCAAAGTCTACCTATCAGGACAGTTAGTTAGCAGCCAGGCTAGTTAGGATAATACTTGGGGATTAAAAACAATAATGTAATGGTTTCTGTAGCATTACAGGAATCAACTGTAAAATTAACACTGTATTTCAAGTATTCTCTCAGTCACATTTTTGAAGCTGACGCACACCAACCCAACCGCCTGCGTACGAACGGACTATTACAGTGCACGGCAAGACGCAGCTTCTTCAGGGGGAGGAGGAAAGAGCAGAGGCTTAGCAAAACTTTGCCAACTTTCTGCACCTTCACAGACACTTGAAGTCTTCAGCGTTAAGTCCTGCTGGTTAGAGTTTAAAATAAAGTGACTGCAGTGATTAGGAGTATTACTCAATAGCGTGCTACAAGAGCGTATGATAAATGAGAAACAATTTCCGTAACATTTCTAATAAATATTCCTCCTAAATTCTAGTGTCTGAAAAAACCCTACAGTTCATTCACATGAATGTAAGGTCTCCCGTTTTCCTAGAAAGTTGTGGTTCAGTCAGATAGAAAATCACTTCCTGATGTACAGCTGTCATTGCTTTCTCAAGGTACACTTTTGTAAGGTAAGTATTTAGCTTTCTACACTACTGCCAGAGATACCCCGAGTGGCTGAATCCCTGGAGTATAACAAAGCCTGTGAAACACAGCTATTAGAGGGTAGCCACAGGCAGGAAGGCAGCTACATCTGGTTATCAAGAGTTTAACAAGCTGGGAGAACTGCAAGAATAAAGGCAAGATAGGGAGCCTCAACCATTAATACTCACACAACGCTGAGAAAGTCTGATTGATCCCTTGACCAAAGGAGGCCAGAGACCTCTCAAGTTAGAGGCATCCCCTGTGTGCACACACACACTTTAACCTGCTGAAGCAAAACTGCTGGGCAAAGTGTGAGGTTTTATGAGAAAAAGGTGCTATCTAATGGCTGCTGCTGCTCACAAAGGCGGTCCCACTCCTACCACCCCCCTCACTTTTCTCGTCCCCTAAGTGAGCTCACTCAGTTCATTTTTTTGGCAGGTAACGTGTCACATCTCGCGGTCACGTTGGTTTTCTGCTAGTTAAACACGCTGACCAGGAGCCACTGCCAGTGCCACAGAAGTAGTTGTGAACTTCTGGCCAGGAGCGGACATGCTGTTTCTGGTACTGACAAACTATTAGATGGCTCACCTTGTGTCGCGAAACCTCTGCTAGAAACTTCATTATAAAAATAACTGCAGTCTTTTCCAGGGATCCTTTTCTTTGGGATCCTACCAAAACTTCTGAGTTAGCTCCCAGGCCTCACCACACATGTCTGTTTCTACATTAAACTCCTAAGTAGAATAATATTCCCCAGGCAAAAAGGATTGCTGAAGCAGTACCAGGCTGCACCACCTGGGTGCCTTCAGGCCATCTATCAAAAATGAAAAGTCTTAGGGATCGTTGAGAGAGCCGAGTGATCTGCTGGCATGAGAAATCCTAGTTTGTCAGTTCAGGAATAGAGAAGGCGATTCCAGCTCTGCTATTTGCTCTTCCTCCCTCTTAGACAGGTGAGGATAAAGCACATTCAATCAGGGTTATGTTAACGTTGGCACATCAATTAGCATTTTCCAATTCCAATGCGACATAATTAAGAAGGTTAATAGCACAGACCCACTGCTAAGAAGTTCGAAATGTCAGGCTCTGGGGCATCTCCCCTATCTCAACCGATAAAATGTAAGTCAACATATTAACAGAACTGCCTCAGCAGGACTTTCTTGCAACAGTCAACTAACTTTCTAACTGTGTACCTTACGGACAGAAAAATTTCTCTACATGTCACTTACTAGCTGCTTTCATATTACATAAAGGTATTACTTTGCTCTGATTCACTTGTATCTTATTCCACTCCTCAGATGTAAAAGTGCTAAGCTAAATTTAAAGAAATATTGCATCTGAAAATAGTGAAGAACTTTCCCACTCTCTAAATATTGCCATTTGAGGCTGAGGTCTAATTTCTTATCTTTACACAAGCCATTTCTGTGGAGGCTTAGCTTCCTTAGGGCATAAAGTCTCTGAAGAGATTAGGCTATTTTAAAGACATCAGATGCCATCTGATAGAAACAAATTTTAAAAACCTTACCATGGTATCAGCCACTGCTTTCATTCTACTAACATGAGGAACTTTTGTGGTGGGCACTCAATACCGTATTTAACAGAGCCCAGTTGGTGTTGAAAATTGCATTCACATTCCATTCAGGCAAAAAAAAAAAGGAATTATAAAAGGGTACATGGGAGTTTATAGAGATCCCAGGTGAAATTAGGGCTCCATAAACGTAAAATTTCCTTTGTCTTCAACAGAGGCAGAATTTCACCTTTCAAGCCCAAACCTTCTCTGACACACAACAGTACATAAAATATAGAAACACTCTATTTCAAATATGAAACACTTGTAAAAATGGGAATAAGAGAGAAGAAGAAAAAAGTGTTTCACTGGGAGGAATACTGAGGTACATTGAATAACATTCAAAAGCAGATATCAATTGAAAAATGTCTATTATTAACTGCAAAATGGAAATACTTCCTAATGCTACTAAAAGCTATTATGCTAGATGGGCAAAGCCTTCTAATTTAAAAATTACTTCAGTATGATTCAAGTACACTGAGGTATAAAAACTGTATTTAAAAAAAACAATTAACAAATATTATCACGATGTGCCCATTAAACTGGGCTAAGGCAGTTGGTCTCTGGATCCATGTTAGGATAAATTAGGGTAAACATTTGGAATCAGGAAGTTCTTAATATGAACTGGCTGAAATTTTGGAAATTGTTCAAGCATTAGAAGTCTTTCACTGTTTAGAGTAATGTGTGCATTATCCTAAATGCACACATCACGATATGCACATCATGATTGATCCATCTCATTGTCTTTAAAAGAGAAGCTATTTCAAGGTTCTGCTTTTGTTCACCATGTGCACTAAACCATTTTCGCATTGCAAAATTCTCAAGAGATCTTTTTACCTGTCATAATTACATCATTAAAAAGTAATATTTTAGAATGGCAAAGACTAATTGTCCAGTAACTGAAGAGAGTGACTCAAGATAAAAGAAGGAACATCGGTAACGCAGTGAAAAAGAGCATTATTTCTTCCGTAGACAGCTTCCGTCAGTGCCTTCTTTAGGATGTCCAGCGTTCATTTCAGTAGTTTTGACGCGTCTCTGGTTCTTGCTGTCCTTCTGAAGCTCAGTTCAGACACTGACAATAGGCTGCTATTGATCAATCCAATTCAAAATTATTAGAACTAAGCTGAGAAGGCCAACACAAATGCCAAAAATAACCAATGCACATGCCTGTGAAGAAAGAAAAGCAAAAATTGATGTTTTACTGAAGGAAGCATTTTACATTTCTAAGGCTTATAAATAATGATGAAAAAACCTGTAAGAACAGGTTTAAATAGTGTCATTTAAAATAATCTTTAATGTTTCAAATTACTCAGTCTTCCAACACAAGGTATCTGCTTAGGGGGAAACTGAACTAAGCCTGCTCTGGGATAGTTTCACTGGGAACTCTCAGAGCAGTCTGGTTTGCTTGCTCACACTAGCCATCTGCCCCCCCCCCAAAAAATATCATTTGCCCTTTACAACTCTGAACGAATTAAGAAACTGAATTTGTATTTTACTCAAAATGTAATTCAAGTTACAATGGATTCTTTACATTTTTGAATAGCCAGATGATAATAAAACCACAGTTCAAGAGAGAGTAGATTGCTGATTTATGACAAGGCCCCAAATCTGTTGGAACTAGTCAAGGCTTTAAATGGTCAGACAGCACCATTATTAGATTTTCTTTCAGAGTCCCTATTTTGTCAATACAAGAGCAGCCCTATGAATCATAAGAATGGCAGAAGGACTATGTGCAAACAGTCTGTCAGCATTTTAGCCACTGTCATGAAGTTGATCTGCTGAGCAGTGGTTAAAATGAAGACAAACAGTTACAGTGCAAAAAGCAGGCTGCTGCACAAATTCCAACTAGAACTTAACCTACTACACCAAAAAAGAAACTATAAGGAGGAGAAAAAAAAAAAAAAAAGGAAAAAAAAAAAAAGAAGGTTTTGAGAAGGATGACATAGAAAACAAGCATAAACACTGTTTCACTTAAATGCAGTTTTGGCTTTGTCCCAGCTGCCCAGACAACATCAGAGTAATGCGTAAAAACTGAGGAGAAATTGGATTAAAAGTCAACATCTGAAAACTATAGGAAAAGCATGTATTCAGATGAACAGTCCGGCATATGGATATACTGCTAGTCAAAAATCTCTTGTGAAGAAGGGGATTCAGAAAGACTCGGGCTATCATGAAGGCTAAAAGAAAATGCTCACACATTTTGTGAACTGCAGTGAAAACAAGAACTTTGTCCCTTGGATTATGTGCTCTACAGTGTATTAAGATGCATCTAAAATGAGCCTGTTTAAATATAATTAGCACACATGAAAAAAAAAAAGCATACCCCAAGTTTCTGTGGTGATAAAAAGTCCTCTCTGCTAAGTTTAAGATAAAAGAGTCCAGGATATACAAAAAGCAAACATGTTGATGTGGTTGAACCTTTAAAAAGCAGAAAGTAAGATTTTACTTAGAGCAAGATTGAAGTATATTAGCTTATCATAATACTGAATTTTTTGAAGAAAAGTTAAAAAACCAAACCAAAACAATGACGACAACTTACCAACTACTCCAAATACATTTTTAATGTCTGGCACGTACATTGCAAACAAAACAACAATTGTATTCAGTGTTAAAGTGACAAGGATATGGCAAATCCACGACACAGGAAGATGAGAGAAAAATACCATCAATACAGCTTTCCTCGCCTACATAATATGAAGAGAAACATTGCATGGGTAAATACATACATATACATATATTTCAATCTTATCTCAATTTCATAAACTTAAGAATTACATCATTCCAGATGTGAAAGAACATTTTAAAAATCAAAAGGCAAAAAATTTAGTAATAGCTGAATGTTTTGTCTTTCTGTAGCATAGTTTACTTTAGTATTAAAGCAGTATTTATCACGTGGCCATTAGTCTTAAGGAAGTACTCCTTTTTTGCAGGGACAAAAGAAGGTCTGGGGGATAACGCTTTATCTCTTTGAGCATGCTTGGTAGCAAATGTCAGCATGTTGCCAACTGATATGTAATCTATACACTACTTCTATATACACAGTTTTGCATGCACAAATTTTTTTGGCCATAACTGAATGAATTTTCAGTTGTACCATGGTATTGATAAACTAAAGTGCATTTTTTTTTGTGAAATAGGTCAATATGTGTTTTTAATTTACAATTAAATTGAGTTTTCAAGTGTAAGTGTGTTTGTGTGCGGGTGCGTGCATGTAGAAAGGAAAAACCAAGTCAGCAAAACTCAATTTAAGAAAGGGGGGGAGGGAGGGGGAGGAATCAAACTAAATAAACTTTAGAAGTTCTGAATTCTCTAAATTAAAAACAATGCTGTGGGCTAGTTTGAATCTGAAATCTGTCTCAAGAGCACAAATTAGCTTAGTGGTTAGTTGTTATTTTGGAGCTCTCATGGAACATATGCAAATATGTGGTCTTTGATCAATCACTTGACAAGTGAATAAGATACACAAGACTAGATGTGACTCAAGTATTGCAGTCTGCAAAGCATTAGTGTTACCATTGCTTATGCCAGCTTCAAAACATTCAGGAGTACTTACTGGGAAATGGATTAGAGGGACTGTCAAAAGCACAGCAAACAGTATGGCTACTTTAACAGTCATGATGACAATATCATGTGGCAGGTACCTGCTGTAACCCTGTAGCAATTCAGAGTCCACTTTGTCTGAAAACCAGAAAAATTAATTGTTTTGTTAATCATTTGAGAACTAAGATAGTTAGCAACGCATTTTAAGCTTACATTCAAATTGATCAATTTGCTTGTGACTAATGCGGAGTGGAGGGGGGTTGCAGATACGCATCACTTTGGCATTACTGATACACTAGCTCTAAGATACACAACCTCCAGAAAAACTGAAAAAAATCTTGAAGGGGCAAGCCCCTATAGAGCCTCTGCTGAAGCCAAAGCTACCTAAAGAGAAGATACAAATATGGAGGAGAAAGCATCAAAAAGAAAGATGACCTGACACGAAGCCAAGTATACGGTACTGTAAAACTGAAGCAGTCAACACCAGATTCTTTCTTTGGTTCATCTAGACGCCAGAAACAAATTAACTTTGCTAAATTGACTGAATTGCATTTCCTTTTTTTCCCCAGAAACATTAGGTGATATTTCATGGTTTGAAAGAAAAGCTATAATTCTAATTTAAAGAAAGAAAGAAATGTTCAAAACTATGCTAGCATATGGGCTTCTACTGGCTATAGTTAGCAATGTATTGCTGCATGACATGGAGAAGGATAACTAGCATCAGTTATACTTCAAAAAGATATTTCTTATTAAAAAAACCAAACACCAACAAAAAAACCCCTATTGACAATTGACACTGATTCTTCCCTATGCCAAATGAGTAGACAAGTGCAACACAAGGACACCCGAAGGCTGTCATTTTGGATTCTCATAGCACCCAGAGAACAGCAGAGGACTGCACCAGCAACGCGCCCAACCAGGCCAAACACTTTCAAATGACAGGTCTGTTTTCTTCAGCAGTAAGGATCTCATGTGCTTTCCACCACATGCGTATTTAGCTTTGCAAAACCAACTCTATTGTGGCATTACTATAGTAGGATACACCACCATGAGCGTTACTTTTGTACTATTCAAGGCAGAAGTAGGGCAAAAAGTGATGAATCAGTGATGAATCCTTCACCTTTGACCTTTGCCCTTTTAAGGTGAAAAGTTTCACTAAGTTAACAGCAAAAATCAGAGGCCTGAAAGTGGTCTGCTACCCTGACTCTTTTTTTTCGGCATACCCTGATTCTATGCTTTTTTGGACTTCAGAATGGACCAAAATCTCCACCAAAGTCCAGTCGCTGTATGAAGTTTCAAATTCACCGGAAACAGAATAAACCATCTGAACCACAGAAAGATGAAGCATGCCTCATTTCAAAGAGGGAACTCTTTCTTTGTTTTCACTTTAAAATAAAATGTTTTACATTTTCTTGGACTGGTGTGTTAGGAACAGGGAACAGATTCTCTTTATTTAAAGAAATAAGTTAATTAAACAAGACAACCAAAAAGTGAAAAAAGGATAAGCAGCTTGCAAGGCAGGGGGAGAAATCTCATGCAGACATCCACTGTTCGTTTCAGTGTTTTAGGCTCTTGAGTCTAAGAGTTACTAGAAGAAATCAGGCTTGCAGTAAACCAGAAATGTTCCCAGTGAAACAGACTGAAAGACTACTGTCAAGACAGGGTCTCGTCCCAAAGAAATCGTGACAGTGAAGGTAAAAGGAACTGGGATGGTTTCTAGGGTTACTACCGTTTTTCTGTGTCCCCGTCCCGTCCCCCCCCCTTTTTTTTTTTTTTTACTTCTTGTTGAGATCTCCTCTGGAGACAGATGGTTATCCCGCGCTGCCTGCTGAATCTCTCAGGCTCTCAGAGTGACACTCAAAACTATATTTTCCTATAAACCACATGGAGACAGTTAGGAAACAGTAATAGTGGCCTATATGCTATTAGGGGTTTCATGACTCCCCATATAATTTTTCAAAGGATTCTGAGTGTCAAGGGAATGTTTTCAGACAGTTATGCTCAGATATACACTTGGGGAAAAAAGTGCAAAATTCCCTAGAAATTTGGAATTATTAGCTGCTGAAAGCCAACATTCTTGGTCCTTTGTCAGACACTATCTCAACCCCACGATCAAGAAATATAAAACACTCTGAAAGGAGAGGAAATCCTAATCAGAACACTTCTGTCTTACTGCCTTACTGTCCCTTACAAGGATTTTTACTCATTCCAATCAACACAGGTCACCATGTGGTCATCTCATAAAAAGGGTGACATGTTGTCACCTCATAAAAAGGGTGAGTTTTCAGAAGACATTAGAGGAGTCCTCATAGGTGACTGTGATGCATTTATGCGATGGCATTTGTACGATACTACTCCAGAAGACAGCTGGATCACCAAGTAGAGGTGATTCAATTTGACAATGCGTGCTACATGAACAAAACACACCATAACACCAATTTAAAGCAGGATACATAGAGCCAAATGACATTTCTTAGTAAGGCATCACACTGTGACGTTACATGACAGGATACTTAAAATTGCCGTATGAATAGACACTCACCTACACCTGCCAAGGTTATGACAGACCTTGGAAAAAAAGCCCCTATGTAGGTAAGGGTTCTGAAATCTGAGTATTTGGGAAATGCAAGAATACCAAAGTCATCTATGTTTAAACACAACTAAAAAACTGTACCCAAAGGTATTCAAGAGTCCAAGTGCAGAGTTATTAAACTGGTACTGAAGTACACTGCTACGTAAGCTCTACAGCAAACAAACTGAAAGATGGCTGTAGAATTTGGTAGGGCAAGTTTCATACCCTGCTTTTCTGTTTGGTAAACAAAAAGGTACATTTACTTCACCAAGCACTATGTCAGCAACATCTCTAAGAAACATGCGTTTCTTGGTTCAGTTCATGTATCAAACAGGTATCACCTCTGGCTCTGGAACTGCCTGCAACACAAATTCTTGAAGACAGGAAGCATGTGCTAGGAAGCCCAACTCAAAGCTTATCCTTTTAAATTTTTAAAATGCTTCCCTAGTCTTTTGTCATTGCCCTCCACTGAAGTCAAGACACAAAACTAGATGGGCGCTTTCTCTGATTCAGACCTTCAAATTTTCTTACGTTCCTTCTCAATTTTTTTCCAGAGTCCTCTAGTTTGTATTTACATTACATATAAACAAAGGTATCATGAAGAAGTCACTTTGTGCGATCCTTTAAAATAAAACTTTCCTAAATTGGATGATTCATGGGAAATTTTTTTTCCACTTCCAGCAGATTTGTAGTGAAATAGCTAGTGTTAGTTCCAACTGATTTGTAAAAATCCAAAACCAAAACAAAGAAGCCATACATGCTTTGTACCCAAGCTGTATCGGACAGAGAAAACGTGCTGCAAACCTTCATGCCTACCTAACATTAGGGCTAGCTTGCTGTGGGTCAAATTCCCCTCATAAAAGGCAACAGCCTCAGTGCTACTTAGAGACTACAAACGTGCTGGGCTATCACAGGGTTAATAAGTGATAAATGTTGCTAGAAGATACAGCCTTAGAACAGACCTTTCAAACTCATTGGACAAGCAGACTGTTATCAGATCTCAAAGTTTCTCACAGACCGTGATAAATCCGTTCCCAGCTTTTAAGTGAAAATATTATACAGTCCAACATATAGTGGCAATCAGTAGTCTAATTACATAGCATTAGAGAGCATCAACAGACCATCAGCTACAGTTTAGGGACCAGTATCTTGCCTGTACAGCATTTTAGGGCATAAACCCCGGGAAGTTTAGCTGCATTACACGTTGAGAAGTCAATGTAATACGGTGCAGTGATAGGCATGTTCTTAAGTCTTCACAGGAACAAGATTTCTGAGGGTTCAAGTGTATCAATGCACCAATAAGCCTGAAGTACTCCAGACAGAACACATTTATCATTTATTATTAGCCTTCATGCTAAAGAATACTTGAAGAATATACTTACCATAAAATGTCAGGTACCCAAACAGAGCAGACATAAAGTAAATTACGAAACTCAGACCAATTCCTGTCACAGTTACATTCTGCATTCTACTTTTGGATGGACTAAAACACAAAAAACCCAGAAAATTAGTGTTGCTTAATCTGTATTGTGGACTATTAAACACAATGCAATCTACATTAAAATAAAATAAAAAAATAGCAGCTTGCCTTTTATAAGAAAGCATCCTCTTAATTTATGGCCACAGAGTATTTGCTGCGGTCTGTGCTGTCAGTAACATTTAGGGTTTTTAAAAGTATTTTTAATCCGTTAATTAAAGGCACTTTTCATGCAGACAACTAACATTGTCCCCATCTTCTACGTAATTTAGACATACCAGAGTATTTTTTAAATCAAAATTTTTGTTTATACAGGATGATATATATTCAGAGCCAGGAACAGAATCTGGGTCAAAAAAAACACCGAATCAGATGTGGCCAAATGCAGATTCAGTTACAGCAATAAAAATTAACTAGTAAGTACCTGAGCAAATGACCTTTTTTCTCCAGATTGTTCAGGTCAGGACAATGTACTGACATTGATGATGGAACCATATTTGCTACTTTTCTCTCCTGTAAGAGAGGAAAAGCCAGTACAGACTAAAACTGTACATTTCCCAAAAACATGAAAGCTACTTAGTTTGCATGGTTTGATGGCACCGATTTGAAAATAAAAATTATTCAAGATTCATTTAGGGAAAATGTTACAGAAATACTATCATTATATTTTAACATTGCGTGTGTTTTCATACATTACCTTCGGAGCTCACAATAGATGGGTAAGACTGAGGTATGGCAGAGAAAAGAGAAGGCCATAGTCGGTATTGCATAAGCACTCTAAAATAGAAGAAAAACATCTTGTAGGTTGTTTGTTATTACAGATGGTTGGAAAAATATCAGGATGAATTCAGAATTCAGTTCAAGCGCTGGAAGTCAGTGGAAAGCTTTCCACATTAATGCTCCGAGATAAATCTCCACAACACAGAATGGTGTCTGCATCATTCCACAAAAAAATGGACCTTTCCAACTAGTATCTCTTCAAGTGGCGGTCACAGCTTACTCCTTCATGATCAAGAGAGGTCATGCTGTCTATAAGCAAACAACTGAAAGATTCTTTTTTAGCTATATTGAAGCCAAGTACTTATGTAAAAAGAGTAGGATTTGCCCCAGAGTCAGTGTATCATTCATGAAATTTTCTAAGACGTTTTCTAAATTCTAATATTCACAACTACCTGTCAAACTACTGATTCCTTCACCCTGACTTCACTATTTTCTTATTACTCCTTCACAAAAATTTGCATACAGCATCCAGAAAATATAACATGCTTTGACATCTAAAGTTTTAAGATAGTTGTATAATTAAAGTTGCAACCACACAATTAGTGGTGTATTATTCCAAAATCTTGTAATAGAAGAGATGAATCATCTAGTATAGCTTACTTCAATTGCCAAGTGGAATAAGCTGCTGTGCTGACATAATCAGGCCCATACTGGTAAAAATATGCCACTCTGTATTGATAAAGTTAAAATTAAAAAAGAAGTAGAGATGAATCCCAAGATTCTTCAAAGCACAGAAGGCCAGAATCTCACAGTAGATGTTTCTGGTCAAAGCAAAATTTCTTCTTTGATCTACAGATAACATTCGTCTCATGTTTGCATTGCCCGAGCTCTTTTTGTTTCCCCTCTCTTTTTCTTGTGAGGGTGGGGGTGGATTTTGTTTTTTCAGACAAATGCAACCGTGTCCTTCCTAAATTCCACTACGCTACAAGCCTATCCCAGATTTATTCTTCCCTTTTTCCCTTCCTCTTCACCCCACAGAGACTGGAGTTCTACATGATACTTCCCCTCCTGCAAGCCTTGATGGGTGGTGACATGATTTAAATGCCACATTAATTAACAAATACTAAAGCTGGCATCCAATGAAATGCACGAGATTGCGTTAGGCCTGAAGAATTAGCTTCAGGTAAGAAAAAAATAAGGTTAGGCCCAGGCAGTTTCAGGAAACCTGTTCTACCTCGCCAGGAACTAAAAGTGTGCATACCGCCAAGTAGCACTGACTTCTAGCTGAGGGCACAGTAAGTTGGCTTGATCCGACTGCATCATGAGGCTGACCACTGCTGCATCTGCTATACTTTATACTTTGGTCATATTTGCAAAATGTTTTCATAAATGCTAACTTGGACAGCCAGCCTTCACATAAAAAAGAAAGCGTGAGACTGGGTAACACTTGGCAGCAGGTATAGGAAATATTTCAGCAGCCTATAACTAGTTTTACAGCAGAATAGCTTACCCTGGATGGAGTTTAAACCCCAAAACCACCACCCCCCCTTTAAGTTTGTATATTGTTAACAGAGATTACCTCTTTTGAAAGATGAAAGAGCTTTGCTTTACAATCCCCAGTAGAATTTGAAACCTGTAAGACATACATGCAAAAAAATGGCATAATGAAAGAATAAGCCCAAACCACAGAAATGAAACTTTTTAGTTTCTGTGATGATTAAGAAAAGAAGGAATTTAAATTACAAGTAATTCTGAAAGCATTAACGTAAAGAAAGCGTTGCCATTACTAATAAAATGAGAAGAACTTCAGAACAGCATGCACTTTACCTGTAAAGTCTCTATGGCACTACTTGGAGGTAGAGGACAAGGGATCGACCATTTTTTTATCATAATCTGCAAAGACAGCATATTTAACGTATGAATGATACCCTAAAAATCAGTTTAAATTTAGATATACGTAGCTAAATTAGCAAACTGTTGGTATACGAAGCAAGGAGCTACACCCATCGCAAATTAACAGGCTTGACCGGTAGACAATTAGGCCACAAGAAGAAAACTTGACAGAAACGCTTGTCAGTGCCATTCCATACAGCTGCTTGCTCTGCACAGCTGGCAGCCTTATGGCATGCCTATCCGGAGTGATGCACTGAAACGAGCTCTGACATTAACTGAAATGCAACCAGCACTCTGCATTCACTCTCTCTGTGCTCCACACTAACTACCTCCCGTACAGAATAGCTGCTGTGTTAGCTATCGCAGCCTTTACAGAGATAGAGCAGAGCCTAGGGCTAATCTTAAAAGGCAGAAACATATGGTTTGGACTAGAAAGCAAAGGAAAAACAATAAATGCAATTATTGTCCCAGAATGTCATTGGGGCTTTAGCTACACCCTGCTGGTTACGGAACTGCCAAGTAACAGGGCTGAAAATCAAAGGGAAATTAAGATAAGAAATGTTACCTCCTTTTTCAGGAGCCTAGTTTAAAATGATAGTTGCATTGCTCTCTTCACTCTAATTAATTTCCTATTGTAGTTGCCTGGCTTTAGAGGTTATAATTCTTTTGAAGCCTAGAGCAAATAATTAAAAACTTAATTAAAGACTCAGATTCACGAGAAGAATAACATGGAAGAGAGTGCTTCTTCTGGCTCAGAGAACAACTTTTTGCTTGCGGCCAAGTGGTGTTTCCCAGGGGATAAGGATTAGATGCTCCCTCTTGTCACCAGTGCCAGGAGAAGCAAACAAACGTTACCTCCAGACAGAATGGGGAAAGGAAACTGCGGGTACACAGCACGCTGAGTCCATTCTGGCAATAACATGTCTTAAACTGCATGACTAAGAACAACTCACAACAACTCAAGGTATGGAACTAGGTAGTAGCTTGCTCAACAGCAGTCTTGCAAACTTTGTGAAGAAGGATTATCAATGGAAATCCTCCAGCCATGTTTCTGACACTAAACTGGCACTGTTTTATACCAGGAGATCTGTTCCTACCTACTTATTGATTGGCTAAACTGCCTCCTCTGTGCAACGTGAACTGCAGCCTCATCTGAGGAAGGGCGTAAGGAGGGACAAGAACATGCTGGTAGTACGTCAAGAAGTTCAACCAAGGGAGGAGGAGGAAAGGACCAAACACTAAAATATAACTTAGGCCTCTATCGTACATATGCATGACTCTGTCACATGGGTCACCCCTGCTTCAGCTCTCTCTTGCGCACCAAGCGGTGAGAAGCTATGAGCTGTGACAGATGCAGACTGCTGCCGCAGTAGTACCACAACCGTGGATGCACGGCTGTGCTGCCTGCCCAGGAAGCCCAAGCTTCTTGGCTAGCTGAAGACATTTATGAGGCTGAGCAAGAAGGCAAAATATTTTTTCAAGGAGATCTCTGTATTTAAAGGCATCCAGATAGGGGAAACAAAGGAGACGCTTTGAAGGCTCCAAAGTAGAAGGCTTTGTGGGAACTCTGGCTGAGGCTGGAACAGGCTTCCTGAGCAATGAAAAGGGGCATGAAGCTAAAGGGCAAGCTTTGGGCAAAGTAAAGTGTGCCTGGCAGTGCTGGGGGCAGAGTTTCCTGCAAGCTAAAGAGCAAAGACATATATAAACATTGCAGAGGGAGGACAAGACAAGCCAAACATAAAAAGCTGAAGAACATTCTTCTAAAATGAAATTAATACAGATTAAGAACAGATTGAAATGGAAATAAAAGGAGACAAAATAAAATGCATTACATGATTTAAAATCTGTAATTATATTTGCCCACCTGCTTAATTATTCATATCTGTTTGGGTTTCCAATTGTAGTCTACTCTGTATTTCTAATGAGGTCCCCCCCCAACAGGAAGAGATTTTTAAGTTGGCAGTTAGCTGAGCAGTCACGCAGGCAGCACAGACAATCTTCCTCTGGAACTTTAAGCCTATTTCATATAAACCTTGTCTTTTGAGTATAACAAACATTTGGTTTTAAGTAAAAAAAAACCCTAAAACCTAAAGAGAGATTCTAGTGGAAATAGGGTATTTAAAACTCACACCAAAAACATTGCTAAAAATTAAAGTTAGAGGCTCAAAATGTTCTAATATTCTCAGTGATGTTGCTTTTTCGTATCCTGCGGAGGGAAAACAGGAATCCCTTTATTCCAGCAGTACTGACAGCACTCAGCAAAGAGGGGCTTCCCTGTGCATAACATCATTCATTACATATGGCAGGTTCCAAATCTGCATCACATTTTGTTCTGGGAACATGAACAAGAGATTTAGAAAAATACCATCAGGAATCATTAACACCTTTGTTGAACAAGCTACCAATAGGGCTGTCTCCACAAAAAAAGAAAAATCTGTCTTTACTCTTCACCAATATTCAATATAGCAAGACGGGAGGCAATAAAAAAAGTTTAACGATCACATTTGATTTCTTTTCACTTAGGACTGAAGTCAGGAAAGTATTCAACAATCAGAAACAAAAGTGCGCAGGACCTCACAGAATCTGGCTTTGAATTAATTTACATATATTTGTTTTTCTCCCAGATCAGCTCATCTCAGTGTTTTCACTTTTTTTCCAAGTGAGGGCTATAACCAGTGTATTGACTTCAAAGGAAGAGATACTGAAGCACAGAGAGGGGATACGTGACCTGCCAAAGCCCCACAGCAGAGCACAGAGAACAAACAATAGTCTCTAGACCTTTTGCTCAGTGCACTCACTAGACCATACTGACCAAGACATATGCTGTCTATTGTACCTATCTTTTCTGCAGGCTGTACTGAAACTGCGGCTTGCTGGCAAAAAGCTGAACAGATGGTATGCACTTGAAAATGCACAGAATTATTGTATATGCAAAATATAAATGTATTACTTCCATATGACTAACACAGTTTTCTTCTGGAACAAATTAAAATATATCTGCCATACAGAAATTAACATCGTGCAAACTAAAACACCATTTCAACAGCACGTATCACCCACTTCAAAGCATTAGATATGAAAAGTAAACTGCAGTTAATGCCTTTGAGTTTCAGTGCCTAAAGAAGTCAGAGAGAATATTTTGTGAAGAGTATTAGTTTTCTTTAAATATCCATAATCGCTTTTAAAAATTTTGACCTCAGTTAGATTTACTGGGGCTGCTTCTTTGTCATTTAACAACGAAGAGTAAGCATACAAATTCAACCATTTTGTAAGAAATCCAGTAGTCTCTGTACTCCTTCATTAGTACTTTCTACCTACTTTTTTGATAAAGAATCAAAACTAAACCCTAGCTTAAATCATCCTCGCTTGATATGTCTGCACACAAGTCTTGCTTACACACTTGCCTTTTCTGAGCCCAAAATTGTTTTCAAATGCATTCACCCATTACAACAGCTTTCTTCAGAGATGCATGCACATTCCTACTGAAATCCAGGAGCTGAACTTGTTTTAAAACTCTTGCAAGTAGCTTCAGCCAAAGGCCTATTTCAGCCTTAGAGTCAGTGCTTTTTCTTTTTTTTTCTTTTAAGAGAAATTTTAGGAGAGAGGTCAAAAGTTAAGGTAATTTATAAATATTGCAAATTAATTTCCATTAGCTCTGGAGAGGCCATAGCTGCTCCTCAATGCTCAGCTTCGGAAGAATACTTCCCAAGGTCCTACAAACACTGCAATTCTCCAGGGATACCCTAGGGAGATGTTTTGACAACTTTGAAGTTTGGTTTTATCACATGGTTTAGTTCCTAATGGATTGCCTTGGTCTCCTGGATGGCATGTTTGTTCAACTTGCCTTCAACTCTGTTTATCCCATTGTAAAACAGGTATTAAATGCAAGTCAATGCAAGCCAGAATGACAGGGGAGAGGGGGAAGGTTTTTCCAGGCTCCCAAATACGATTCTTGTTTCTGTACCTAGATGACAGAGTGCGAGTTGCTTGCTCGCACTACATATTACACACGTGCATTAACATACTTTTTCTCTGTAAAAAGAAAAATAGTGCAACTTAGAGGCACATTTTCCCTCTCAGATCTGCCTAGCAGGTCTCACTTTTGATATTTGGAAACATGTACCTCACAGGGGCCTTGAGAGGGTGAACATCAGGGTCAAAAACCCCCATATGGCTCAGAGAAAAGAAAAAAAAAAGGAAAGAAGAATAAGGTCATTGATGTATTAATGAATCTTGTAAACTGCCTTAATGAAGTTCTAGTTTTCTTTGCCTTTTTTTGAACTCTGTCACTCCATTATACATGTAAATTTAATTTATTTGGAGTATATTAAATTTTCTTCTGACTAGTTGCAGCAAGTAATAGAAGCTAAGAAAACAGAATTCCTTCCCACTACTAGTAGGGAAACAAAAGTATATGTGCCAGCTCCCTTCACCGCACCATCAGCAAAATAAAAATATTGTTACGTTTACCACTCCAAAATATAATTATTTTAAATCTTTTCACATGTTTGAAAGTTCATATCCATTTTCATGCCTCAGCAAAACAAATGTAATCTGTCCAAGCAAGCACATACTGAAGGAAAACTCTAAATTTCACATAAAAAGTTAAGGGGGGAGGGGAAGACAATTCATTTCAAAACAGGCTTATGAAAACATTCAAACAATACGAAAAAAAACAGATAAGCTGTGCACGGATTTTTAACTTACCACAAGAGCAAAGTACACCATAAAGAAAAATGATAAACTACTTGTGTAGCCAAGAAAGCCTGTAAAATAACAGTAAAAATAAAAGAGAATTTATAAGGAAAGTGATCCTAATGTACAGCTAAAGCTTTACATTTTAGGCATGTTTTCTATTACAGTGCTTGGTATCTGGGGCTTAGGACTCAGAATAACAACATTCCAACTGCCTGTCACAGATCATTTATGTAGTTTTGTAGGGCAGAATTAGAACTGGCTTACCACTAATGGCACGCTGTAAGTAAATGCAGCTCTTTAATGTTCTGCTGTAAAGATTTTATTTTAGTATTGCAGACAAAATACTACTGCAACCCAAGTAATAGGTTAACTAGGCAGGGCTGGAAGGCAGAACACACTACAACAACTTAAGTAATCCCCACCATCACCAGCCCCCTGCCAGTTAAAATAAATAAATAACCCATTAAGGTTTCAAAGTCTTCAGCTGTAATTGCTACTAAAGTAGAATAATATTCATGTCTCTCCTTTAATTACTCACCAATTTTAGGAAGAAGCGCGAGAGGAAAAACAATGCAGACTGAAGTAATCAGTAGCAGCAGTCTCCCATCAAGGTACCAAGACCTGTTGGAATATCTATTTATGACTGATACAAAGCTCGAGAGTCCTAAAATACACGTTCTACTTTAAAACCGTGATCTTAGACAAAATAACCACTAGGACAAGAAAAATAAATAATTTCCAGTCTCACCTGCTATTTACATGAATTTGTATTCCTAGTTTCTATATTGTGATATAAAATAGAGTTCCCAGAGAATGAGGAAGCAGAGCACCATCCCATAACGAACCAGCATCGCAGGCAAAGTTCCATAGGCAAGCGTCTGCATGGATCAGAGGTCTGATGTGTGTAAAGTTATTTCTCAGCAGCACAATATGCAAATCCCTGCCTTTATTCAAAGCAATGATCAGAGGGAAGGGTATTTCATACTCTACAGATTTCCAATAAAGTACTTATCTAGTACGCTACACATTATCTTAGTGAATTAGATTACGCTGAGTTGCATATTTATACGAAGAAACTGCAACCCACTTACTGCTGAACTTCCCTTCCAGTTTATTACTCCTACATGACCTTAGTTCCTCACCATTTCCAAGAGGTGTGAAATAGAGAGCTAAGCTACCCAACCTATCTGTTTGGAAATTCAGTTATGTTTTCTAAACATACCAACTTTCTCTTCTGCCCAAGTTTCATTACACCTATCATCACAGCGTTCAAACAAAAGAAGAAAATAAGTAAATCAACTTCCAGTTAACTCGAAATGATGTTTGCTGTCTAGAAGTGATATAAGAAAGAACATCAATAAAGAGAACTTCCTCATCTTTAACTTTGCACACAGTGATCACTCATTCTTTGCATACATCCACACAAAAACTTAACGACAGAAGGCATGGAAATTATGCTAATGAAATCTGCTATAATGTTTATACATAAAACTATACATATAAAAAAAGCATTGTGGAGGCATATGAAGCGTTTAAAATCTATTCAAAGTATCAAAATCTCATCTCCAAACTGACAAAAGTACAGGCGTATAATTGTTAAGAAACAGAAACGTCCTGAGGGTGGCTCCCCCTAACTTGGTAATAACCATATCCTGTACTGATAAACATCTTGCACATCAGCCTCCGACTTTACTACCTATAAACACCTTGGCCTTTGACCTTCCAGTTTATTTAGTCCAGGATATGGTTAGCACCTAATAAACAGGCAGCACCTCCAGTTATCATTAGGAAAGTAGCATAACACCTGTGTTAAAGAAAAATTACTGTATACATACATTAACTACTGTCATACATTGTGGACAACCACTTGTGTCACTCGTTTGAAAAAATATGTAATATAAATGAACAGAGAATTTCAAGGTTGAAGGCATCTTTGCCATATCAAAAATCAAAGTAGCCCTTAAGTAACAATGTCTGTATTAAAAATTACTCAAAATACATCACTCTTCAAAAAAAAGTATTACTAGCCGAGGTCTGCTACTGCTACAGTGAAAAAGCAACTTTGCCAAGATTAGCTCCCTGCTGTAGTATCCTTCACGTTGTAAACATTTAGCATTCACATATTTTTAAACTTTTTCTTTCTTTCTAGTGTGGTGGATGTTCGGATCAGGAGGAACAGTATCATAGCAGTAGGCAAAAGTATAATGAATGTTACACTATGTGTACGTGTGGGACCTCTGTTTTAAGTCTCCCGATTCTAAGCATGCAGCAAATCCACAGTTGCCATCGTAGCTCACAAGCTGAGCAGGCCAGAGAAAAAATTATGTAGGTTACTTTATGGTAAATGAAAAAACATTTGTCGGGGAGGGGGGGACAAGAGAGAGGAAAACTGCAACGAGGTGATGGGAGGGAGAAAAAACAATTTTGTAAACTGCTTAATTTTGGAATACCAGTTCTTTTATTTAAAAAGATCTCAAAAAACTGAATAGTGGACCATTTACTGGTTATCAAAAATGTGTCAGTTTTTCTTCCCAAAACACTGTTGTAGAAATACACTTATTTTCCAAAGGCAGAATAAATGTTTTGATATTGCCTTTAAAATCAGTTTGATCTGCAAATTTAATCCTATATGATAAAAGCGTTCCAAGTATGAAATATGGAATATAAATCCTTGACTCTACTGAAAATGCTTTGGCATGCAGATGTTCCTCCTCCCTCCCCCATATTTTAACTAAAAGCAGACATTTATAAATCGCTTTAATTTCATTCCTGAATGCAATAAGACAAGAGATTCATATGTTCTAAATTAGGATCTTACTCTCAGTCCGTATCAATTATATAACACACAAGCAAGACAACTTAATTGCATCAATCATATCCTCCTGACAGGGTCATTAAATGTTAACAGAGGGCCCACAAATTACAACTTTTTAACACAATCCTCACTTGAAACTCTGTTCATGCCATCAAAACTATGTGGAATTCTTGTTATGCAGACTGAAACAACTTGCAATTAGCAAGTGTTCATATTGTATGTTTTTGTTTTTTAATAAAGACATGAAGATGTATTACACACCGGCTCTGAGCCTTTCAAACACGTGCACACCTGCTAACCTTTACCTATAAAAATAATTCAATGCGCAAAACATTCTTTAAATGGCTTTCCCAAAAGTATGCTTTGGGATGGTATATGCATGTAAAACATTTTTCGCAGATAGTTTTAACTGACACTTTTGATACATTCTAACTAGAGTTAAAGATAAATTCTGCACCCAGATGAAACCGAATCAGATGCTATAATGACTTCACAAAACAGAACAGCTGTGCAATCACATCTGGAAACAAGCGGTCCAGTTAAAGAAGTTCGATTAAACTAGTCAATATTTATGCCCTTTGCATAAATAAGTTGCTACTTAGGCTTGATATTTCTTTAGCTGTTTCTGTTGAACAATTTCCTACAATTTAAAAACTCCGTTAGTAAAAAACTACTCAACGTCTGCGAAGAAATACACAGAAGCAAAAGATTATCATCTACCATGGCAATTAATATGGCAAAATATATGACATATAGATGTGGGCATACAGAGAAGGTCAGCTGTGTGCCTGCACCTGGAATACTGCTTGACCACTGCATTTGAAACATTTGCTCGGGCAAAGAACAGAGGAGTCAAACTGTGTCAAATACACATTTATCAATGGAAGAACTCCCAAGAACAGAGGCAGAAACAGGACGAGGCCCGGGCTGACAATCAACTTCCCACTCGAGCCGTGGTTAGTATTCCTATGGACAACTCCAGCCCTTTCTAAATGCAAAATTGAACTTCGCTCCCATCTCAAGCTGTAATTCCAGCTAAGGAAGAAGTATGGGTGGTGGCAGTGCTGACAGCGCACTGAGAACTACCATGGCTCAGATGATTTGTAATAACCAGTTCAACCGCTGTAACCTGTCTGCGTGTTCACCAGTGTTCGCATCCTGAAGATCTGCACTAGGACCCTGAAAAACAGCTAAAGCTGGTGGGAGTGTCGTCAAAGTGTTATCTTTTTTAGACAGAACAATCCTTTGAGCAGTATGCATGCACGCAGGACCTCCAGATTCTACCTATTACGAGTTTTCATAAGCTGTTTGTTTAAAAGTGTATCTTTGTTGGGAAAAGTCACTTTGCATAAACAGAGCTGACATAAAATTAAAAACAGTAGTAAGTGATGTTATATGCTACATTTGAGGACAGACAGACTGGAACACACACGCAGCAGATACAGTAGCAGGCTCAACGTCCCTGTGTATGAAGAGTGGAGTTAAAAGTATGATCTTGAAAGAGAAGGTGATAGTACCCAAATTAAAAGCTGATGACCGTCACAGCTGGAAAAGATACATTAGCAGACTAAAAGTGACATATACACCTAAAAAATAATAGTAAAAAAAAAAAAAAAAGCCCCTTACTAAAAACAGATCATTGCAAGGGCCAGGAGGGCAGAAAGACACAAAACAACATTACCACTATACTTCATTTCTCAAAATGTTCCTTACAAAATGGAAAAGTTAGAAATGACAAAATATAAAATGAACTAAAGCACCTTTTAAAAAACTAATTCCAAACTTAAAATTCACCCACAACATTCAGGAATAATACAAGCATCACACAGCATTGAGACAATTTCACCACGTTTCCATCCAGAGAAAGTTTTGAGCTCAAAACATCTGAAAATCGCGGTTTGGATAAATAGCCGTAACACAATCTAAGATACACTGCTACAAATGACAGCAGCGCTGGAACAACTCAAACAAGGTATTTCAGTGCTGAAGCTGCAACGTTTGTCTTAGCACAGGCACAGATTTCTTGCGACAGTTCCGATAGAAATCTGAGGGACACACTCCTTACACGCAGCTTTATAGCTCAATTGCGAAGAATAATTTCTCTACTGGGAGCCAAGCTAAGGAATTATAAACCAAGTCTGGAAACCCGGCATTTTTCCCAAGACAAGTCCAATTACTGCAGCAAGACAACAAAATATTTAAATTTAAATCTCTGCTGGTTTTTGTACTGTGGTTTTGAAATATGTGAAGTGATAACATGACAGCAGTTTAAATATTTCTCCTCCTCTCCCTCCTGTCCCCTCCTGCTTCCCCTTTTAAATTTTTACAGGAAGGCAGATTTCTGTAGATGGAGTTTTGCCACTGACTTTAAGGTCGTCTGATGGGAAATTGCTATGAGGAAAGTCTCTGTGTGTGTGCTGCAGAAGGCTTGCACATGCCAAATACATTTCATATTCCAAGAACTCCTGTAAATAACTGATTTTTTTAGCATGTGAGATCAGAGGGAAGTGTCAGTACCCATCTCTTTCAGCAGTCCTGAACCACTTTCTCCTTCAAGGCAAATACAGTATGTTTGAAGCATTTTTCCTTACCCACTCTCGTCTCCACTTAAGAACCCCGCAACAGCACCAGGAAGTTCAGATTTAACAATTAAAAGATAAGATGACATAGCTGCAAACAGAAGCAGAACAGATTTAGTAGAGAATACCAGTATCTCTGGTTGTAACAATTAGCATGGCTTAACCAGAGTGGTTATGGCTGGAACATCTCAGCTATATATTAGACACCATGGCACCAGAATCAGAATTTATTTTCTCATATACTTCCTTTAAAAATAGCTGCAAATCCCTGAGTATTGTACCGATGTTAGCTAACGCCTCCAAAGAGACTGTTACGATGTGAGTCTTGAAACAAGGAAAGCATAATACAAAGGACTAAAAGGCAAAACAATATAAAATATAGATCTGACCTTTTATCTGGGAATACGGACCTACAGGCTAGAGACAGACTACAAGGCTGCAGCACTTCTCCTTCCTCTTTACTCTTTATGAGACATTGTTGATGATGAGAGTAAATAATAAGATTTGTTTCTATTAATACAATAGTTGTTTTTAAAAACTCAGTTTTTATTGTTGTTCAATTGCTGATGTACTAAATAAATGTATGACAGAAATGTAAAGACAAGAACAGGACTTGAAAGGTTCTTTATATACTGCATGGTTTGGCCCTCGGAGGTAAGAGGATTATCAGTGACAGATCTTCGCTTCTCATGCTAAACCCACCACCAAGAAGATCCCAACAACAACATGAAGTGCAAAACTATACAGGAACTGTGAATCAGAAGAGGAACTGTTAGTTACTCTTATAGGAGTGTCAACTTGAAATTAAGCGTTTGTAATTCTATTCAGACGAAAGCAATGATGCATACATAAATCCAAAAGCTACTTCACTGTACCACTTTTCTCTTTTACTATATAAAATGATGAAAGGCATAAATAAGAGGGGTTTTTAAAATTACAACTTATACTAACCTGATACCTTCATATACGGTTTGTGTCACTTTTTTCTTTTACATAAGCAGCAAGTATTTACATGAATCAAAAAACAGCAGAGAATTACTCAGAAAAATCAAGCTTTACAAACAGCTTCAAGACTATCAAAGCCTACATAAAACTAATGTCCATCCTTCAGCAGCAAGTAATTTTAGTAATATGTCAACAAAAGTTTAGTTCATCTGTTGTATTCAAACGTTACTGTTCTGTATTTATCAATTCTTTAGAATTTTATCGTGGTGTATTAATTAATGTTCTAAAATTAAAGCACAGAATTTTAAAAAAGTAAACCAGCAAACTTCCATAAGCTGATTTTTTAATCGGTTTGTCTGTCTTTTTTTAAAGGAATGTTTTGAACCTTAAAAAAAACCGTGTGGACTCAGACACTGCTGTACTACAGCAGTTAATGTTAAATTTTGAAGAAAGGGAATGTGGTCTCTATAACGAAAGCGAATTCTATTAATACAAAGTGTCATCTACCTACCACAAGGTCAAATTAAAACCATTTGGTAGGTCACTAAATAAGGAAATACTCACTTCTTCATAATTAAAAGCTCTGGCTTTTCCAATATTCAAGTATATTTCCCTGTTGACATGTAGCTGTTGATTGTGTCTGGGTAGGTATTTATCTGCTGTCGTGATTTTACTCTCCTATTTGCATACAACAGAATGTAGATTCAACCACAGAGATCCTCACAGCATGCATATTTCTAAATCACCACAATTTGTAAGTACATTAACGCAATTTCTCATGCTAGGCTACAGGCAGATGCATATTTCACCCTAAGCAAAGACAGGTTTTTTGTTTTTAAATTAAATGGGGAGGGGGGGGAAATTCCTCTAAATTGTAATTCTACTTTATTTATCCATTAGTCTTCTTTCTTGTATTATACAATACTTTATAGACAAGCAAGTCAGAATTTTCATGTATTTATGTCCTTCAGAAAGATTTCAAAATTAGTTCTTTTGCAGCCTCAGCTGCAGAAAGCTTCAAATTAATTTCCAGATCAGATTTCCTCCTAATATGCAATCTGTCACTCTTCCCTTGCATTCCTATTAGCCTCTGGCTAATCATTTGATCACTTATCCTTTGTTGTGTGCTTACTCTTTGTTTTTAAAAGAGGAGTCTTATTTCATTGAATTCCAGTCCTAAGTAGGGAACCAATCATGCACCAAGAAACTTGCACATGCTAAACGTTTGTATGCATCTTTCTTCCTTTCTCTGGGCATATGGGAAACAATCTCAGAGAGCAGGATTTTTTTTCCCCAGTTTATATTCTCTTGTTTGTTCTAGTAGATGAAGAAAATAAATAATAAATGATTTTATTTATACCCTGATGCTTAGATAAGACACGATTCTCATACATAAACCTGAGCAGGACGCCCATGCTAAATAGAGTTTAAAAAGTCAAATCCTGCTTTTTTTTCACTTACAAACACAGTTGTAATTCTCCTCGTGAGCAACAGCTCCTTGTAGCTTTACTCAGCACAAAAGAAGTAAGAGACACTAACTGCTGTATAACTCTCTGAAACTCACTACAAAGCGAGCAAAGAACGTTGTCTGTTTGTTTGTTTTTTAAAGCTGAAACCAAAACAGCGAAGCATCTTGAAAAAGGGCACAGCAACTTGAAAAAATTATCTCAAGTAGGAATAAAATGCATGCGGTATGACAGACAAAAAGTCACATATCCTTTGCTCCAAGTAAGACATTTTACTTGACTTCCCTGACGCCCATCACGACCAAAAGGCCTGTCAAGTTATATTGTAAAAATTAAACGTCAGCTATCCTTGGCAGTCTTAATGTATAATGGAAGGAAGAGATTACACAGTCACAAGGCTAAACTGTGACACAAGCGAACACAACAAACAGCGTTACCTTGTGCTTTGATTTACTCCACTTTGAAATACTGACTTCCTCTGTCATTTTGAAAATAATTTTAATGTTTTAATGGCTAACTTTTAAGGCACCTTTTATCACATACAAAAATTACAAGAAACATACATTCATCCTTAGAAGTCAAGCGTTCAAAAAAAATCAGCAAATGTCAGAAGCAACGCTCCCTTCAGAGTTCACCCCCCTTGTGTGCACGTAGTATGAGAGAGCAGAACTTAACTGCTCTTGCAACCCAGCCTCATCCCCTAAATTAAAAAAGAATGTTATGTTTTCTTCGTGTCACCTTCTCTTTGCAACATGAGACATCTATCTTTAGCACCAAATGAGACAGGTTTCCTGCAGAACAAATGGTGTACAATGACGCAGCCTGAGGCTTTAGCAATACGCAGACGCAGCAAGGGCTGAACTAGAACTACGTGAGCAACCATCATATAGTCGCTTCCTAATTTTTAGGTCATAAATTTGCATACATTATATTTAAATATTTCACAGTACGCACCAAAAGGTACTTGATGGAAGACTAAGCAGGTTTGAATTTCTCAATAGGCCTTGCCGCAGAAATGCCATAAACCAGTATTCAGCAGAAATTAAAACTCTATTACTACTTCATTATTCAATCGGCTTACCTCTGTCTTAAAAGCAGCAAGAAATTACATTCTTAAAATACACATCACTTTCTGAAAACTTGGTATTAGCTCTTTGACAGAAAAAAAGATGTTTGTTACAATATAAAATAGGGTACTTGCTTTACACTTTCATTATTATAACCTGTAGTGCCACCACGAGATACGACTCTCTATAAATATACATACCATGCATACATTACTCAGAACACCTTCATTGTGCTACAATATTGTTTAACACTGAGCATATGTGCCCCTACCTGAAAAAAACATTAGTTGCTGGAGAAAAGGGAAGCCAAGGTTACATTTTTTAAAATAGTCCCCAAAATATCTCTTCTGAGGTAGCCCAATCTTAAAATCAAATATGTGAGTGGCTTTTTGGTTACTGGAAAAGGAAGCGTACCTTTTCCTTATTTTCCTACCCAAAAAAGATCAATTGCTGAAGTCCACAGCAACGATGCAAGAGAATATGTATGTTAAACTTATGTGTAAACATATAATTTATTCCTTCCTTAGAAAACGGCTAGTGATAAATCTCTTCAAATCACTCTCTTGAAGGGGCTGAATCTAACTCTTCTGGTTAGTTTTTCCTAATTTACCACTGTTGCTGTTCGTATTAGAGCACTATAAAGACGTCTTACATTATTAAGCACCGTGCAAAATGGAATCAAGCTGCCCTCTGAACTTCACGTAGGAGAAGACAGGGGGCTAGGGAAAAGCGGACTGTATCAATACAGCCACACTGGCTCTTCAGCTCCTACTTAACAAAAGAGAGGTGCTGATTTGGGAGTCAGGACAAGTAGACAGAGCAATCTTGATTCTCATCTGGGTGAATACCAGGTAAGAGAGAGTTTCCTCACAAATGCCTATAGATAATTAAGATAAATGAAAATGCTTGTAACTCTCATCCTCTAAAGAGTTCAGTCAGTAAGATCCCTATTTTTCCCAAAATACTGCAAAGATTAGAGGCTGAAAGACAGGAATAGAATAAACTCTCCAGCCCAACCGAGCTGGACCTTTCGTAGCAACCGCATGTGACAAACCCCTTTGGGCTTGTGTCTCCCTTTGCTGGTATGGAGGTTGTTTAAAATTGAATCTGTCCTAATCCAAACAATGTGACAAAGTTAAAAAGAAAAGCAGGGAAGGATTTCAAGAAAGAAAGTGAAACGAGAGAGGATTTTGGCCAAGCTCCCATTTTTCCTGTCAAAGAATTAGAATGGAATAGCAAGATAGAAAGTACTTCAGTATTGCATTGAGCTCCTCGTAAGTAATTTGAATTGTGGAAACATCAGGAACGATGCATGGATGCCACTGAAAACCATCAACTATTTTAGCCCTCACATCACATGGCCTTAGGAGCATGCTCTTTTGTTTTCATTTTGCAGTGAATCCCCCACATATTCCATTTTAGGAAGTCTCCCAATTACTTGATGTATTGTTTTTAATATTTCCTCTTAGTGGAAGCTTAAAAACCAAAAAAATTCATTGGGATCATTTGTTTGTTTTTAAATACCAATATAGAATGGAGTGTGTGAAAGGAGATGTAATGCTTGTTCACATGGAGAAGTTCTGAGAACAGAAGGAGGTTGTCAACTTCTTTGC